CTTCTCTTCCTCCCTCCTTTTCTTCTTCTTCCACCCTTTTCTCTCCATCCCTTCAGCCCTCCTTCCCCTTTCCCCTCTCTCTTTCTTTCTCACCTTCTTCCTCACTCCCTCTCTCCCTCCCTCCTTTTTCTCTCTCCTCTCCTTCCCTCCCTCTTTTTCTCCTATTTTCCCTTCCCCCTTTCCTTTTCCCTCCCTCTTTTCCTTCTTCCCTCTCTCCCTCCCTCTTCTTTTTTCCTCCCTCCTTCCCTCTTTTCCTCCCCTCTACCCCCCCTCTCTCTTTATTCCCTCTCTCCCTCCTTCTGTTGCTTTTGTCAGTGTTTTTTTTTTTTTCTAAGCAACAAGATAAATAACTAACCCTGATCACCTTGAGAATGTAAGAGCCACCATGGGAGCTCTTGGAAGCAGTTATGACAAGTCTAGTTATACATCCAGAGTCTGCAGAAACATGCTGCAGGCATGTGCACTGGCCGCCTCCTGGTAAGAATGATGTGCACTCAGACTTCATCTGTCATCACAGCCCCATCTTGAAAGGCAAGACTAAAGGTGTTGATTTCCATAAGCTAGGGACCGTTTAAGACTGTAGGAATCACTGCTGATTTATAAGTAAGCACCTAATATTTCTGGGAAGCTTGCATATTTGTTTTCCCAGTAGATGGTCACCTCGATAAATGGTGGCACATTTTCATGGGGAGAGGGCAGAAAAAAAATGTATGGAGAGTTCCTGTTGTAATGTTTCAGGGTCCCTTATCTAGGGATTCCAGTTTCCCTATTTGCCAGGGCCATTGGCTCCACCCTGAGTCAAGTCTGAAGACTATGAGAGGCAGAGACAGTTCACTGAAACAGCAGCAACTCAGGCCAGAGCTTTGCCTACAAAACCTGGGGTTCCTTTTCTGCTGTTACAACAAACAAACAAAAGCATGGAGCAACACAACTATCAGCTTCCTTTCTGGGAACACCTGACTAGTTGTTTCCAAAGCTTGTGGCAGCCAAGCTGCTCTGTCAGCAGGGCTTGCGTCTCTGTGGTGAGTGCTCCAACTGGCCACTGGGGATCTGCTTTTATCACTCTGCTTCTGATGTCTGATGGTGCAGGGCTCCCATTGCACCATCCAGTGCTGTCCTGGAAGGAATACCTTCTGGAGGTTCTGGATCTCTCAGAAGTTTTTATCTACAGAACTTAGTATGTAGTCATTGAGCCAGGTAGAAATGCCCTGGTGTCCTAACAGGACAATCAGGATGGCCTGACAGGCACTGACCACCACTCACACCAGTGACCAGGCAGACAAAGCCACTCCCTTCCTTGACACTTGCCAGCCTTCCGGTTCTCCTGGTCTCCCTTGTGTCATTTGCCTTCTATATTGGGACATCTTTGCATGGAGATAAGTCTTATTAGATAGAGTTGCCCCAAACCTTGTATTCTTCTCAATTACCCTGTCATCTGCCCTTCTGGACACAAGAATCTAAAATTAATTATTTTCTTCACTATTTTCTGTTGTCGTCTGTTTCTTAGGTAACCACACAGAACACATTGACTGATTAAATGAAAGCAATTTAAATGTGAAGCAATATAAGCAAACATCTGGGAGAGAACTTGATTAATGAATATGAGTATCACCTACCAGATCAAGCAGTAAACATAGCATATTGAAATTAATGTCCACTTACGCACTAGCCCAGGAATTTGGAGAAATACCCATTAGTGTTATAGGAAGATCTGTAAATAGCTCTGTAGCTAACCTAACTGTTAATCATTAAGCTGAGAGAAATATCCTTTGAAATTTAGCATACAAATTCCTATGTAGTAAATAAACTCTTTAATGGATGCATACTCTTTCTTTATGAGATTCCATGCATTTTAAAGAAAAGATGAAATGTGTCATTATTCCCTTAGACTGTTAGTGGGCTGGATGATTTTATTTTATTTTTTTGTATTTTTTGGCCAGTGGCATAGATTCATTCTATGCTGCCAGCTCAGGCATAATGACTGTAGATTTTCCAAATGTGCTTTTACAACACTTTCAGCTTCATGTTATTAGCACAGCAAGGAAAGTTTCCTCTCTGAGAATTTTAACACACAGTGGTCAATACAGCCAGTGTCATCATAGGAAGGAGAGGAACACAGCTGAGATGATATGTTTATGCAGAAGATCAAGCTGTACAAAAGAAGCCTGTTCAAAGTATGATTGACTCGAGGCAACCCCCTTCCCACGGTCCTCTTGAGAACCTGAAGAGAAACTGACAGAAAACCTTGCTTCTGTTCCTGTCCAGTTTCCATGGAGACATACCTGCAAAACTCATCTAATGGTAACAGTTCTACAAGTCAGGATGTTAGACCCTTCTTACTTCGATTGCACATTTTAACCTGGAAGGTTTTCATTAACCTGGAAAGGCAGTCTTAAGGCATGCTAAGAAGGCAATGAGTAGTTCATCTCAGATGCTGGAAATCAGTGTGTCTTTGAGCTGCTGGTGATTAATGCTCAACTATTACCTTGTAGTTCTTGCATAGGTAAGACCCACAGAGCCAAAGGAATCAGACTGGCTTTAATTCTCCACTGTACTTTAGTCAGTTTGTTAAGTAAATGCTTTGAAGTCATCATCTAACAACTTAAAAAATTACAACACATCTGTTTCCAAGAGAAGAGATAGGAAGCTTGGGGAGGACCCGCAGCATTGCCCGTCACTGGGGTGTTAGCAGCAGCAGATGTTGTCCCCAGGCTCTCAGTGAGCCACACTGTGTTGCAGCAGCAGTACAGAGCATGACACCATTTCTCATACCAAATCTGTTTTTAGGGACTCTAAATTCTAAGAGAAGTGTGAGATTTTATTTCTTTAAATGGTAATCTTAGAACATTTGCTTTTAACATTTAGGGAAAAAAAAACTGTTAAGCAGTAAAATGTCAAAATAGAATAAAGTGCTATTTTGGTCTACTATTTATCCAGTGGAGCCCTGCAAATTGCTGGTGCCTTGCTAATATATAACTAGGTAGAGAAAGCAGGGTTTTGGAAAGAATTCATATTGATGAAAGTTTGAGAAGATATGCAGAGTGGGATTTTTCTCCTTTTATTACTTTGTGTGGTATAATAAAAACCATTTGCAGGTTAGAATTGAAGAAAATAATATCTTTTATAAAATCATTTTCTTCATCAGGAAAATGGGCATTCTTGTGGGCTGTGTGTGCCTCAGATGTAATAGAATGTTCATAAGCTGTGAGGTACAGTATGACAGCCGTGTGCTAGTGGTGTTGGCTTAGGGATAAAGCTGATACAAACACCTACACCTCAGAAGGGAGTTGTGACCCATCATTTACTTATCCAGAACTAGAACCTGCTTTGCAAGTTTGCTGTGGGAGAGATACAGGAATAGAAGCACAAATGAGTGCTCACAGTGCCCGGCATGCATGAGCCATGGGTTTTGATTCTGTTTTTACATCGACTACAGTTTTATATTTACTTCATCTACAGATGAGCCATCAGTATTCTACATAAAGTTTTAAATTCTCACTGAAAGCTTTATGGATAGGACACTGTACTAACCATATTTATCCCACTGGGACACAGTAGCTTGCTTGCACCACCTACGTGAGGATCTTAGGAGGTGAGCTTACTCAAGTGAACTGTTATCCATTGAATTCAGGGGCAATAGATGAACCTCCAAATTAACCAAGTTAAATAAGTAGCAAGAATTGTCAAGATCTCTGTGACAATTACTCTGATACTTTCCAGCCTTAGGCTGAGCACCCTGGTGATCCATATCTTCAAAATGCTGCTGTAGCAAGCAGGATGTGAAGTCTTTTCCTTTCACAGACTTGTTGCAATAAAGCTGGGAGGTTGCTAGTTGGACCTAGGTCACCACTGCCCTCTGCTGTTTGCTTTAGGGAGGTGGTGCCTTCTACGAAGCAATAGAGAATTGCCAAGTCCTGCCTTTCTAGGCTGGGTGTCCATCCTCTCTGTGCTTCATCCCTCCCCTCACAAAGAAACTAATGCTGAAAACTGTCTCCTTCACTTACACATTCCTTGTTAGTCTATGTGAAAGGCAAGAATAATTGTGAGTTTTGAGGGCTTTGAATCAGCCTTCCTTCATGGTGGTACACATATTTTTATTACCTCCAAGTAGCTACAAGGTAGCAACGCAAACTGAAGGGTTGCAGGTGGTGACTCAGGACTAGGGAGCTATCACTTCTGCAGCGTTCCTGACTCTTTTGGCCACCATTTGGTTTGAGTTTATCATGTTCTGTTTCTTTTTTATTAGGAACACTCATTTCATCACCCCCACCCCTTGCCTTAGTGCTTCCTTTTAATACCAAGCTATTTTAAAAAAGCTTATTGAGACCAAGTCTTCTGATGATTCTGATCCTACTTCTTCACTTCACCCTGTGCCACCAAAACTCTGATTCTCCATATAAATCCTGCCTGCAAAGCCCTGCAATTGAGTGGTTGTTTTAAATCCCCCTCTTTTCTAAGATTCTGCAGGGACTGCCTATGTATTTATGAAATCCACATCATTCTATCCAGGTCATAATGCATGTCAATCCACACTTTCCCGAGAGTGCTGGCCCCTAGGATTTTGTTTCTGTCTAGCTGAAGAACTGTCATGGGCAGACACACAGGCAGATACAGAGTGGTTGAGATTTTGTGTTTCGTGGTCCAAAGTATCAGATCTTGTGAAGGCTGTGGCTGGGTGCTTGGCATGGTTTTGGCATGTGACAGACACCTATAAATGAATAGAATGTACCTCCCTTGTCAAGGCTGTTCTTTACTGAATGGATGTGTATGTGCATAGCTGTTATGTGAAGTGTGCTATCAGTAAGTGTAACCACGACAAGATAGAAAAGCAGAGCCATCCCTCTATACAGAGGATGAAAGTATAGCTTATAATTTGCTAATTTGGATTCTTCTTCAGTCTTGTTGAGAGTGTGTTATCGTGCTTCCTGTAGGGGCTGATGCACTTGGAGGAACTGGTTGTGATGGCTGTCTTCTTGCTTTCTGCAGCTCCCTCCAGCTCTGCACCATGATCTGAAGAGAAGGGTTATAGAGAGATTCAAGAAGTCCCTGTTCAGCCAGCAGAGCAACCCATGTAACCTGAAATCTGAAATTAAGAAGGTATGTGTTCTCCATGTAGGCACCTGTCCACAGGAGATGTCTTCTTACCAACCCTGCTCCTTGATCTCTGCACACTGTTAAAGGGTAATGCCTAACCAAATGGGTTCACCTTTCCTCTAATTTCCCATCCTTCTCTCTGTGGCTATTATTTCCAGGTGACTGACTAATAGAGCTTTTTCCTTGTCACTACATGTTTGCCTAAGAATAAACATTGTTTTTAATTTAAAAAATGTCTATTGCGGCCTGCCTTTGAAGAGTCTGTTCCAGTATTTTTGAGAGGGCTATTCAGTGAGCCCCTCACTGAAAATTGCATTTTCTGTCTGAAATAGTCACCTGACCATGTGAAGATATGATTTTAATCATCTATGGGGGCAGAATGTACTTACCCTTCCCATCTTCAATATTCTGGAGCCTTTTCATATTTGGGTATAACAAGAGTTTCTCTTCACACATGAAGAAGCTAAATGGTTATACCAAATTGGAAGAGCATTCTTTATGTCTGACAATATGAGTTGGAGACAGGAAACCCACTTTGTCCTAGAAGATGTATAAACCCCTTGTCCTGTCTCTGAAGGTTCCAGAATGAGGAAAGTCTAGCAGCCTTGCTGGAGATAATTTGAAGCCTCAATGTCATCTCTTACTTCTCTCCTTAAATTTCCTCATATGCTTAAATGTTGCTTAAATGTTGAATTTTTTAATTCTTCCTCTGAGGGTTTGTTTCTTTAATTAGTGCGGCTACTTTTAAGCACAAGTTTATATCACTCAGGAAATATGCCAAGCTCTTTGATTAAAAAAAAAAAAACAAAAACCAAAAAACCAGTAAGCTGCCTGTTTCTGCTTTGGTGGCGCATAGCCATAATGATGCCTGCACCATTGATGTATATACCAGAGGCAGCTGCAAGTAAACAAAGCAGGAACCCATCCCTCAGAGACAAAAGAGTAAGCTGCCCTTCACACGCTGAGTTGGCAAATGGCAAAGACAGGAGAAGGTGAAGATGAAGCAGAGGTACAGGAGGCTTCACACTTACCTATAGCATTCTAAATACCAAGAAATACATTTTAAGTATCAGAAGCTCAAGTCTCCCACAAAAAGACTATAATTTGCATGGCTTTTATGTTCTTACTAAAGTGATATTAAGAATAAGTCAATTTACATACAAATTCATTTTAGCAGAAATTCTGGTTTTATGAGACAAAAGCTTCTACCTCAGAAGGCATTCAGAGGCTCATTTCCCCACTCCATGGATTTCTGTTGTGCCTTCCCTGAAGGCAAGTCCTTGTGGTCTTTCTGATGCAGGCTCCCCTGAATTTTTTTCTTTTGTATAGTGGAGCCAATTTCTTTTGTTAAATCACTCTTCCTGCTGCCATCCTTGGTTCTCTTCCTGTGTCCTGAGAGCATCTCTAGCTGGTATCCTGGCCTGAGCAAAAAGGCAGGATTGCTGGGGGACAGGGGGTCTGCAGAGCTCATGTGAAAGTCTCACTGAGCCAGCCTGGGCCACACACCTGCCTCAAGCCCACCAAAGAGACAAATTAAGGGTGAGAAGCAATTAAAGAGATTTAGTGAATGTGCCAACACAGGTAAGAGGGACACAGAGGTCCAGTGCCTCTTCCAGGGTGCAATGATCTTCAGGATCCTAAGGGGAAGGCAGCTTTTAGATAGAAGGAGGAGATATGAATACATCCCTGGCTCTAATCTTTCAAGGTGGTCTGAGAAGCTGTCTGAACTCTGGTCTCACTCTGCAGGAGACAAATCCCCCTCTGGCACCAAGTTTCAGCCTTTTCCTTCTCCCAGCATGAGATTCCTGAGGAAACTTTCAATTCCTTGCTGCTTTGTTGTTTTACAGTCTGATCGGTAATGGTAGAGATACAAATTCATCTTTAGAATGTCCTCATCTTTGTCAGGATGGTTTCTGGTGGGGCTGGGGAGAGTTTTATTTTAAGCAGAGTTAGGAGGCAGGGCACACTCTAGTGAACGGTGCCAAGGGCTCTTTTCTGATGAGGTAGTGGCAGCTCACAACACACTCAATGGGGCCCTTCTGCTTGGGGAAGAGGACACTCACAGCTGGGGTTCAGTTGCAATCAACAGACACAAGCACAGTCCCATTTTTCTAAGAGAAGGTAGGATACATAGTGGAGTAACTAATGCTACCCGGAACTAGGTGTCAGCTCCTCCAGAGAGGCCTGGCAGAGGCTTCCCTGAGCACAGCCTCCTCCTCCACAGCTAGCTAGCTCACTTTCCCACTCCCATGATATAAACAGTTTTCATCGGTCTGTCTGTATCTCGGATACAGCCAGTCTCTTACCTGCGATTTCTCAGCATCTTGCACATCCTGGCTTATGGTCAGTGTTTCACATGTATAATTCACATTAGTGAATGGAGCATCAATATTATATACTTATATATTCTGCATGGCTGTCTTCATTTCTTCATCCCTACTAAAATGTATGTTGGTGTGATAGAGTCATATAGTTTTACATATATAGACAGATCTAACCCCACGAAGGTTTAGAAAACCCCTGTCTTCCCCTCTTGCTTGCAGTCTTTTCCTTGCACTGACTTTTGATCAGAAATGGACATTCCATCCCTTTGTACAGTCACAGAAGTCAATTAGTGTCCAACTGTCAGACACAGACATCCTCAAAACCACCTCCTGGTCCCTGTTTCATCCCTTACTCCCCACTCCCCAGGTACTTGACTTGAACTTTCTCCTTCCTTTTGAGACCCAGGGAGCCTGCAAATACCGTCTGAAGGAGCCATTATGGGATGACTGTGTCCACCTATCAATGGTATTTATCACGTACCAGTGCCCAGAGTGATATGTAAAGGAGTCTAAAGATGGAATAACCCATTCCTAAGAACTAAGCTTATTCTCTCTAGCTCATCTAAGCTGTTCTTTGATCCAGGCTCCTTCGAATTGGCTGGAGTAATTCAGGGGCACCAAAGCTAACCGAGTAATCACACTGTGGCCTTGGAGCTGGGATTTCAAGCATCAGAAAAGGGAGGAGGAAGATAGAAAAGATTAGTTCAAGTCAGTAATTGAAATAGCACTGTCAGTGAGTGTAAATTCATGATAATTTTTTTCTTTTAATAATACACTCACTAAATCACTCTAGAAACAGATCAAGCTACATTCAAGTCCTCTCCCCATGTTTTTGAAGAGACACAGTTGATTGGCCCAGGGCAGAGATTACACAAACTGGGATTGCTCTGTTTTGAGGTATAGACAGCACAGCATTACTAGGGACTCCTGACAGTGTCCAAAAACCTGGGAGCCATGCTGAGGCTGTCCCTGAAGCATCTCTAAGAATGCCACCACAGCAGGGCAACAACATTCAAAGCAGGAGTTAGTATTGATACTAAAGGAAAGAGATCTCTCTTTGGTTATCCCCGGAGCATGCCAAATAACCCATTCATTGTTTTAAGACTTGTTTTTAAAATGATTCCATCATTTTTCTTCCTTTCTATTTAAATTCTGTCTCAGGGAAAACAAGTTGCTGAGGAAGGGACATTTTGTATTGTAGACAAACTTCAGGTAGCACTGTAGCTTTGCAGTGCAACAAAGGATGGAGGTCCCACAGAGAGGAGCTTTTTGACACAGCCCTGTCAAAAGCCTGCACTGTAGCTGCATCTGATCAAGCTTCTAAATGTGAAGTCAGCAAACCATAGTCCTCAAGCCATTCTGGCCTGCTGTCTACTTTTGTAAATAAAGCTTTATTTATAGGGCCACATGTTTTCATTTCTATCTGGCCTGTGGTAGCCAACTAAGGAATGCCAAAATCATTGTCATTACAGGCAAAGCTGAGTAGTAGAGTCAGAACCCTATCTCCTCCAAGCTGGAGGTAGTTACTGTCTGACTCCACAGAACAGTGAGTCCCTCCTCTGGGTCTTGCAGTAAATAGAGGGATAAGGACAAATAATAGGCAGCACAGTTGCCAGGGCCTGAGGTCCTATAGCCTCCCACTGCTACCAAAACAAAGCAGGAGAAAGACTGATGGAGGAGACGGTTTTATAAAAATGGGATAGAGACCATGTCTCACAGGAAGATGGTTTCCATCTTTTCAAACAGATGTGGCTCAGGGGTGTTATGGGAAAATAAGTACTTACAGCTCTTTGTTCTTCCATGCATGTCTTCTAAAGGGCCAAGACTTGTTCTAACTTTCCTTAGAAGAGTATATGTGTGTGTTTTCAGGGCTGACCAGTTAGTATTGGATAACTAACTCGTGCACTTTTCCTTGGGGGCAGACTATTTCTCCTGCTTTCGTCATCCCTTAGTTGCTGGTAGTTCTTTATCTAGAGTTGAAGCCTTACGAGTTTGCCCTTTTCATGGTAGCATGTCTATTGGTACTGTCCTTGTTCGGCTCATGTTTAGTCAGCAATGATGGTTAAACTTGATGATACTTCTATGAGACACAATGTCACAGCAAACTCCCTGACCCCTTGCCTCTTACAGTCCTTCTACTCCCTCTTCTATGTGTTCCCTGAGCCTGACATGCAGGAGGCTTAGATGTACCAGTTGGGATTGGGCTCTATAACTACAAATTTTGATTGGTTGTGGGTTTCTGTGATGAATCACAAACAGAAGTTTCTGTGAAGTGGATTGAGAACTATATTTTCCTGTGGGTATGCAGAAAAAGACTTAGAGTATAGTTTGGGACAATGTTGGTTTATTAATGTGGTAGTTGTAGGTTCTCCACTAAGATCCATGAGTTTGCTAGCCGTAGGTAGTAGACTGTGTTTCCAGTATCAGGCACAGTTTCCATCTTTTTGAGCCGATCCTAAATCCAATTAGAGAGCTGTTGGTTGCTTCCAAGGTATACATACTAGTACTGCATCACTAGGGTTATTTTACCTTACTGGTTGTTGATGTGGTTTCAGGGCATCATAGCTGGGTAGGATTGTTGCTTCTCTTGTTGGAAAGCTTGCATTGGAGTCTTTTGGCACCATGAAAGCTAATCCTCAGGTAGGAGGCATTCAGGTCAGATCCAGCTTGATCGTCTCG